AATTTAGGCCAGCGTTTTTTTATTTAATGTATAATACAATTTGCATATAGCAATAAAATAGATTTTTTTTTATTTTTTTTAAATAAAAATGCAGTACCATTAATCATGACAGTAAAATTTGTACGTTGCTTTAATAAATACGAAATATGCTACAAATAAAGGTATTCGTATAAAACTATGAGATCTGCAACAATTTAATTATCTCTTATTACGACTACCTATATATAATATTTTTCGATTTGATCTTCTCAAATTAGACGTGCGAAATACAAATAACACGTCGTGATTTTGTATACTTATCACTAGTACGTACCCCGTGATGCACGGGACAAAGATATTAAATGAGTTATTTTCACAGCCTTGTCTGTTTAAGTGTAAAAAATAATAGAGTTACTATCTATTTTCTACCTCTTTTAATCAACGTTAAATCTAAAAGGGCTATAAGTTTTTTTCCAAAAGATAATAGGGTTATAAGTTTTTTTCCACATCTTTTAACCAGCGTTGTTTTTTTAGCCTATACATTAAATATGAGCATGTTAGAGCTACCTTGTAAAATAATTAATATATTATCTCACTAAAACATTTATACTAATAAAAATTTAATTTTAGCATATAACTTTACCCCTTGATATAAGAGAAAGTAACAGTTTTACTTATTCTTGTTCACCATATATAATATTTAATTATTATTTTATAATATAATAAAAAGGAATACTGTTAAATAGTGTAATAAAATTGTTATAAAATTATATGATTTTTTTTTACAATATGAATTTAATATCTTTTTATGATTTGATAATATAACTATAATATATTCTTAATGATATAATAATATGAGATACGGATTTACATAATATTATAGATTTATTCATTAATGTTAAGATATTGAATTAGGTAATATATGTTTAACTAATTTGTAGTCTGTCCCTTTTTATATTGAAAATAATCATGTGATTGAGCAGATATAACAATTATCTATAAATAATAATTTTTGAATAAGTCCAAGTGTTGAATGCGATCCGATTTTCTTGTAACTAAAATAAGAGGAGATTTTAAATTTCAATTTTTTCACTTCAAAACGACATGTAAATTTGGATGCAGATTTATTAAAAATGAATTCAACAAAACTCATAATTTTATAGGCATTTAATGTTAGCCTATTTTATGATTTAAAAAATTTAAAAACTTTCTAAATATAATGTACAATTAATTATGTGTTGACTTTTTTTCCTACTAATTCTAATAAACGGGATAACTTTTTATATAAGTATAGATTCATTTTACGAAAGAAATAGTGTGCCGTGAAAATAAAAATGCAATAAAAAATAGGATAGGAGGACAAATTCACAACCTATGATTCTAATTAATAAATGACGTTGTATTTGGATCTTTATTGATGCCATGTCATTTTTTTATTTTATTTTATTTTATTTATTTAGATAGAGCCTTTTATCTTTCTCAGGTTGCTGCTCAATAGCCAACGACGATCAATTGCTGGTAAACGAATTTGCTGACGACATGGTTGCGAAAACAACGCAGCTGCAATGGAAGCCTCAGTCGCGCTCGTGGCAGACGGGGAGGCCTTCGGTGGGAAGTCGGACGGAGGCCGGCCCCGCAGTGCGTTGTCCCGTATCTAGAAATGGCGCCGGCCTTCCAGGATCCATGAGGTCGAACACCGTCGGCATCGATTTCAATTTCGATCTCCTTGTGTATATAGATTTCAGTTTGCGAATGTGAGAGGGTTGGAATTCCGATCGGAAAAGATAATGGGGGCAGGGGTCTGATATTTGAAAACTAGATGTCTTAAAGAGATTTAAGTGAAATTTCATAAACTTATAGATTATTGCTTTCTGATTCTCGACAGGCCCGACACATTGAAGCCAAGCGATCACTCATCACAGGGTAGAAAATCGCGACAAATCTTGTTTGGTCACTCCGTTACTTGTCATGAGTTGTTTTTACTCAATTTTAACATTACCGTGGGCCGGCTATGCTAGGCTCCTAGTCTCTCCTATTCATCTCTCCTATTCATATAAGAGAAAATGTGAGGCATTGTGAGGCCCTGGATTTTCTATAGGATAATACTAAAGACAGATAAGAAAAACAATTTGAATTAATAGATTCTGTTAAGTTGGGTACACATAACACATGGACACTAACGTAATTACTTTATTATATTAACAAAGTAATTACGCAAACACAATATCGACCAAAATAAAATATTTCACTTACTAACACCAAAACACACACTAAGTATTTTATTATATTACACACTTCACTCTCTCAATAAAATTCTCACGCACTCACACCATACAAACACATACCTCTCTCATTTTTTTATTTTGCTCACTCAATACAAATTAATTTATTTTATTATCTAACTACTCTCACCACTCAAAACTCACTCATTGGACAATCTAACAAAAAAGAGCCCCTCACTTATTTATAGGCACTAATGTCGGTTACATTCACCGACTTACAAATCCTAGAAAATTCTACATGCATCAACTAGCTTTTAATAATATTTTCTT